AAGGCCTACAAAATGTCACTGGCTCAAGCCAGGGAGGTGGCTCAGGAGAATAAGCACTTGTCTGGCAAATGTAAGGACTCAAGTTCAATCCCCAGTTCCACCAAAAACAAAACAAAAAAACTTGTCACTGGCTGATCTTTCCCCAGAATAGTCTATTGGTTTGCTTTTCGTTGAAACAGAGTCCCATTTTGTAGTGCAGGCTGGCCTTGAATTTGTGGTGACCCACATGCCTCAGCCTCCCAACTGCTAGAATAACAGATATATACCACCATGCCTGGCTTTTTGCTTTTTGTTCTTCTAAGACAAGGTCTTGCTTGCTATATAGTTTAAGCTGCCCTTGAACTCACTGTGGAGCTCAGGATGGTCTCAAACTCACAGAGATCCTCCTACCTCAGCCTCACAAATGCTGGAAGTACAGGTATGCACCACCATCCATGCCCAGCTATTGTTTTTCTTTCAGTGACTGTAACACTAGTCACATAGCTCTTCTCCTGAATGTTCCTCATCTCTTGGTATGCCCATAAAGTCAAAATCTTAAATTCCTCAATTTTTTTTTGGGGGGGGGTTGTTTTGTTTTGTTTATATTTTAGGGAAGGTTCTATAGGGTGTTCAAGGTCTCGCTACTAGATCCAACTCTTAGTGATCCGCCGGTTTGCAGCCCCCCAAGAGCTGGGATTACAGGTGTGCACCACCAGGGCCAGTCTCAATTGCCTAAGCAGGCACTTCAATTCAATGAGCTATGGCCGGCCCCAAGTTTTATTTTTTGGTTTTTGTTGTTTTTGTATTTTTGTATTTTTAGTACAAGATCTACAGGGTCTCACTACACAGGTCCAACTCGTGACTCTCCTGTTTTCAGCTTGCCAAGCGCTGGGATGACAGGTGCACAACACCACACCCAGTCTCAGTCACAGTCTCTTTGCACCCCAGGGATGGGGCAGCATGGCAGGCAGGGATTGGGACCCCAGCCACTGCACCTGCCTAAGCAGGAGTTTTAGCCCGCTGAGCTATCTGGCCGTCCTTAAGGTTTTCTTCTGTGCTGGTGCTGTTTTTTTGTTTTTTTTTTTTTTTTTGTGGAACCGGGGATTGAACTCAGAGCCTTACATATTCCACTGAGCCACCTCCCCGGCTCTGCGTTTTGTCTTCTAGAAGCAGATTTTCACAACTATCAAAACACTGCTGGACTTAAATTCTAGTCCAGTGGTGGCAAACACGGCATGCACACCACATTAGGCTGTTTGTATGACTGAAAACTCTGAAAAGATTGCCATACTGACTAGACCTTTTCATTTTTGTGTTCCTAGGGCCAGCCAAATAGCTCAGCAAATTAAAGCACCTGCAAGCAGGCACAGGGACCAGGGGTGTGATCCCTGGTCCCGCCAGGCCAGACCTGCCCCCGGGGCACACTGAGAGGGCAATTGAGACTTGGCATGGTGGTGTGCTTGTAATCCCAGCTCTTGGGAGGCTGTAAAGAGCCGGATTACTAAGAGCCCGATCTAGTAGTGAAACCCTGAA